AAGCAACTAAATGAAAACAATCTAGTGCATAAATTAAAAGAGAACGCACTGGAAGAATGTTTCGTGCATCTCCTTGGTGACGTCCTTCGGCTGCAATGTCCATATGGCATTCAAGCTATTCACACGTTCCCCATTGAGAAGAATCGGGGCAGCGACAAAATAGGAGTACTTATCGATTATCTGAAAAAAATCTCATGGAAACTGTTGTGAATTGATCTAATATTACAATTGGAGCCTTGAGCCAATTTCCGAAAATGAGAGCCATCAAGCCATCTGCTCTCAGATAATCCATACATACCTAAACTAAGCCCTATAGCAATTTAAATGGAAAACTCTACCTCTTTCACTTTTTCAGCTTTAGAGAAATCAGCCGAATCGCCAGCTTTCAGATGAATTTGCACGCGAGTACCAGTTGGCAGGCCATTCTCTTCAGATATTTCATAGGAGTTATCGCTAAAGCATTACAATTATACTGACTGGAAGTGCTGGCTTTTGTATGGAGGTCAAGAAGAGCTTTTGAATGCTAGCTGGAAGCACCAGCACTACAACAGCAACGCCACTAGGCTAGGATGTTTCAACGTAAAGTATAATATTGGAATAAGCTTTGAGACCACCTCCCTACCCATTCCAAGTCCATTTCAATCCTTGCTGCTCGGTTGCGCCGACTTTCCTTGTAGTAACAACCACTGATTCCGCTACCATGAACGCAGAATAAAATCCGACACCAAACTGACCAATGACAGCTTCTGCGTTGTCCTTATTCTAGAACGATGGATGACATAAAACTTCTAACAAGTCGAAAGCCAATGGACGTAATACCTTCTCGATGAAATCTTTGCTGCCAGACTTGGCGATTGTTCCCAAACATTCAAGCAGATCTTCGCGATTCATTCCAATGCCAGTGTCCTCGAATGTGATTGTGCGATTAGCCTAAATATGATAAACTTTGCCACCTCTGAGATATAAGCGATAGGTAACGATAGAATGAGGATCACCTCATCAGTAATGACACGAATTTCGCTCGGTCCTTCTGCTATTTCTCCCGTCAACTCGGCGCATCTTCGCTTCTCCAACGCATCGGATGCATTGGAGATGAGCTCCCTGATAAACACCTAAATGTGCACTTTCACACAACATACTATGTTCCTTTTGTTTGAGAATATGATTTTTCTCACATAATAAACACGAGACAGCCAGAGTCCGCGATCCATCGCGCGATTCGCGCGACAGATGGCAGAAATCGAAGTGCCTCGATCAATACTGCGGAGTGCTCTCCAATCCCACCGCTATTTCTGCTTGATAGTAATGATTGAGTGACGACTGTTCGTGATCCTACTTGTTTCATATTCAGTCATTCATGTTCCAAATGTTCAAAAATGGGGCACTTGCATTCTGCAGAATCGCGGCGACGGAATCGCGACTCTGACCACAACCTAGCAACACTATGCTTTAAATACAGCAAAGCTCACATCACAGTAGCGCACCCGTTTTCGAAGAGTCGAGACATGTGTTACTCAGGGAGTCTTCATAGTCGGTCGTCCGATCGTAACAATCGCACAGCATTAGCTATGCACCTATCGTCGGCGGTGCCGGACGGCCGGGCGATCGACACGATCTAATGCTCTGCGATCGTTACGATCGGAGAACCGACTATGAAGAAAAGCCTTCAGTGCTGCAATAGTCTTAAGTGTCGTCGTGTGAAATGCTCCAGAGTTAGCAAGTATATGGCGCTATGAGAAAATCGGCTCTAGCGAATGTGTTTCCAAAGTGTCTCAGGAATCTTTTTGGAGGATAGTGGTCATAAGTTGTGAGGTCGCAGGTGTCGAGTAGAGTCGTGGCGATCAATACCTTAATCCCATCCCGTACTTGAACTGGCAAACCGAAGCAAAGTAATGGACCGGACGCCGAGGGACTGCTACAGATCTGAGCCAAAAGTATAATTAAAAGATTAATATAAGGTCATTCGCAAGCTGACGCACACAGTTCCGCTTGTACCGTCAACCATTCCGCAGGATCTGAGAAGATCCCAGGGGGGGGGGGGGGGGGGGGGGGGGGGGCGATAATTCTATGGGTGCGGTTCGCGAGGACACAAAACTTCGCTGCGCGAAACATTTCTCGCTGCGGAAATCTCAGGCCCATCGCTGAATGACTGGACCTCCCAGCGAGAAATGTTCTGCGCGAGGAAAGCGAAGAAGTCGCTTTCTGCCCTAGTGACCCACACCCCAATTCGCCGACCACCCCCAAATATGTTGAAGAAAACTTGTTGATGAATGTCAAATGCGGCTCAACTTCAAGTAGAAATTGAAAACAAGAAGTAAAGTTGCAAAATGCACCTCGCTGTTAGAGTATAGGGATTTCGCCACAATGTCCATTAGATTTTTCGTTTCCGCCTGGAATTCGTGGAGCGCTCAGCAGCCGTGCGTAAGAAGCGTTGTCTGAGTGACGACATTCCGGTCGAAAAGGGGTCTCCACGAGCGCTCACGACGGACAGCCACAGCTCGTGCATGCCGAGTACTGCAAAAAGCGACACGCCTTAAAGCATGCCTGGCTGCCCACATCCTGAAAATCAGATTAGTCTTTGGTGTGAGGAAAGATCAAAGAAAACGTGCAAGTGATGCGGCCGAGTCAAAATTGAACTTTTTTGATTCCCGCAAATAAATGTTCACACGCTTTTAATCACCATCGAGATGTCTTGAGCCACATTGAAGGTAAAAACCCGTCGAGGAAGGAGTGAAGCGCACGGGCGGCTCGACGAAACCCGTTCCGGTGATCCACCGTAGTAAGACTGACAAGTTGGCCAGCTTCAAATCGCATTTGGTATACGGTACTTTGATTTTAGTGCAGTTGCATAAAATGCACTCTTTTTACGCCTATTTTTCGGCAAGGTTCATAAAAAACAAATTCGTAAGCTTTAATCATAAGGGTTTGGGTAGCGGTACCATTGGTTTGGGTTACGTAATCTCGGCCGGGGTGCTAACTTAGTTGGGGGGGGGGGCACGCGGCGGCGCGGCAGTCTGCTCGCCTGGCATGTTCGGAAATCCGTGGGCCAGGGGAGTGTAGGCAGTCTAGGGGGTGGGGGTGGGGGCAGTCACTTGACATGCGTGAAAAGCTGGAATGTTCGAGTTTACACTGTCTCGCTCGAGAGAGCCCAGGTGAGCAGACTGCCGCGCCGCCGCGTGCCCCCCCCCAACTAAGTTAGCACCCCGAAATCGCTCTTGAACCGGTATGTGCTGTGGGTGAGTCGGCGCTCGGGTGTGGGTACTTAGGACAGAACGCGACTTTTTCGCTCTTCGCAACGCGACATCGCGCGGCAGGCTGGCGCACCCGCAGCGAAAACAACTACGGTATAGGAGAACGCGCGATTGGAGCACGATATTTGTGTCGGCTTTGATTGCGACAAGGAGTTTGAAGCTTAATAGCCATGGATTTGATAATGAACGAGGAAATGGTAACCAGAAGTGGACCGCTAACTAGCAGTGAAGAGGGAGGTAGGTTATTTTTGCAGAGATGGATGGTAGAGCTTCTGGAGAACCTGGAAGAGGAATGGTTGATGGGACGTTTGATGAGAGCACGACTGCAAAGGACGCTTCTGCAGTAGGTTATGTTGGGCCGCGGTTGAGGTCATGAATATGACGAACCTCATTTTTCACATTCGTGCTGTTTAACGCATACTTTCTGCTTTACTAAGCTTTCTCACCTACAGCGCCTACGACTAAGCATAGGGGAGGGGAGTGAAACTCCGGAGTGGGTAAACCACGCACCGTGTGGCAAAAGTTGGAGTGTGTCACACCACAGGGGAATGGCCTACCCACTTTGGAGCCCTACACTACTCAAAGGCTTAGTCCTACTGCGATCTAATTAGTGCGAGGGCGCAGACGAGCAGGATGCAGCGCCGAATAGCGCTAGCCTCACACACAGATCAGCCCCGAATAACTCTTATACAGAAGTTTACAGCGAATTTAGTGGGAATCAGTTGTGGCGCCACCCGGCCCCAAATGGCGCCAGCGTCAAAAATGAGTATCATATCCGTGATGAGGACAGAAGCGTTCCGTAAAAGATGTTATACCCTTATGCAGATGTCTATACAACAATATGAACCCACAAAATGCAAGCACAAGCGACACTATTAAACCCTCGTTCACCGATAATTCGTAAAACACCATTTTGTGGCATCGCCCGGAATCGTGTAAGTCACAAAACGTTTTCAATAATGAGACAGAATTAGTGATTCACCGCATTTATCAATACAATGGGTGTGAGCGCGGGCAAGTAAGGAATCAGAAACTTACAAATTCACGCATGCAAAAAAAGCTGCTCCAATCGCGCGTTCTTCCATACCGTAGTTGTTTTCGCTGCGGGAGCGCCAGCCTGCCGCGCGATGTCGCGTTGCGAAGAGCGAAAAAGTCGCGTTCTGTCCTAAGTACCCACACCCATGCGACCCCGCGGCACTCCGTTGGTGAGTGTTCTCTTCGCGGGCACGCGCAGGAAGCTAAAGTAGCTTTCGGATTAAGCCATGAAAGGGAGGAAATCTGGGTGCGTAGTCATTTCGTTTCCATAAAGTTGGCCCCCTTGCTGCGCCGCCGCGCGTCGGCTTCGAATGCACTGAGACAACGGCTTTTTGCGAGATGGCTACAAGGAAAGGATCCCACCTCGACATGGCCTTTCAGGATGGGATGCATATTTCTGTACCAATCTTGGGACGCTGAATTCGAATCTGCCCTCCAAATCTGCTAAACGATTCTCTGAACGAAGTTGCGAAATCGTTTATCGGCGGAGAGTGCGTTCATGAGTCACTGGAGCCGCAACGGGGATGTGCTTCGGTGGCGCAGTTGGTAAGCGGATGGACTTGGGGACTCGAGATGGAGGTTCGAATCCTTGATGAGTACGCTAGTTTTGCCTTTTATCCTTTCGGCTCCTAAACTTTTGCAAAACGGTTCTAGACCCCTTTTTGACTAGTAGCACGCCTTTTCGACCGCGAACACGTGCTGAAAACAGGGTTTTGAGCACAAATTTCATTTCAACCACCAATGCTCAAGGAATGACCAGGAGAGGATTGTACGCAACCTCCATCGCTCGATTTCGCATTTCGACACCTTTCGGCAATCGTATTTGACAACATGTTTGGCCAGCAGAGGATTTCAAAACCTTTGGATGCCCATGTGCCACCCCAAAGAAGAAGCAGCGCAACAGTCATCTTCTCAACATACTCCCCATCAGACTTCCAGCGAAATGTTCTGCCCAAAGGTGGTGCTGTCTCATTTGGTGAAGGAATTTGGTTCCTGTGACATTACGCGAGCACTATTTCGGAAAGAGCGAAAGCTGATAGAGGGTTTTTCCTCGATATTGCGTGACGCTATATATGACAACCTTCTTATCGACATCGAGGAAGACAATTTCGTGGAGAACGACCACACTGACCCCCTCTGGTCACCTGAAGACGACAGTTTCGGCACAACCAAACCGATTTCAGTAATACTCGCATTGAATAAAGTCTTCAGTTCCTTTACATAAACGGAAGATGCTTGCGGTTCCCATTGAAACGGAATTTTCCGTGGAGACCCTGTTTTCAGCACGTGTTCGCGGTCGAAAAGGCGTGCTACTAGTCAAAAAGAGGTCTAGAACCGTTTTGCAAAAGTTTAGGAGACGAAAGGATAAAAGGCAAAACTAGCGTACGCATCA